ATATATATATATATATATATATATATATATATATATAGTTATGTTTATATTTAAATATATTGTTTATGAGTAAACCTTCCAAACATTTGGCAGCTATAATGAAATAATGAATAGTAATATAGGTGGAATCCCTGCCATAAGATCTTTATCTAGTGGTTTAAAATACATATAACATTTTTTATTTTATTTATTTTCCTATAGATCCGATTACGATGAAATATTGCGTGTACATACCAAACACTATTTTACGCCTTATAAAAATATAATAAATTCTTTTAAATAGATTCAAATTTCAAAATTACCCCTATCATTTTTTTTGGGTACTTCAGTCATTTTATATTTTTGAAAATATGTTTTACATTTTTATAAATTTTGCGCCCTATTTTTTAGTACACACGACTAATATTTAATTTTGATCTGATTTTTAGAAAAAATATTAAAATTTATATTGTGATATGCATTCTGAACCACATGATGGAAATATGAAGGCTAGGATTCCACCTATATTACTATTCAATTTAGCTGCCGGTGTATGTTAGCCTTTTCCATTTTTCAATAATTTAGATTTTCATGTATGTATGTAGGCATACATAACACGTACACACATGTGTGGGAATATGAACCCTCCAATCCACTCTCTATAATATGGAAATGCATGTAAGTTGAACTATGGATGAAAAATTCATAAAACCCCAAACCCTAAAGCCGAAAATATAATGGTAGCAATAAACACGAAAAAGGGAAAAAACAAATAGGCATTAGATTTGAACTTGGGTGAATGCGGTGTACGTTGTTCTCTACTAAAATTCTGTCAAACTTTGACGTACTATGAGTAGAACGAGCAATACATGTCAACTCTCATTTTTCACATCTGACAGATTAGGGGTTGCGAATTTTCCACCTAAACTTTAATTACACTCATCGTATACGAACCTTAATAATGTAGTAATTTTACACTTTATTTTTTTTTTCCAAAAATATTATCCAAAACCAATACAATAAGAAACTAACAGACATAAGAGTTAAATTCACCAAGACTAGGGAAAGGGGTTGGGGTTTTGGCTGTGGCATACCCCAGTTGCATGTTGTGGATTTCATTCCCATTGACAACTTCAAACACCACTAACCATTTCACTAATGTGTAGGGTCCGTACTAAATTACCAAAAAAAAAATTCACTAGGACTCAGATATCATTATTTAGTTTTTGCCTCGATTCACCATGCAAAAAGTTTTTTTTGTGAAGCATATGACCAACAAACTCTGCATTGGAGCATAAGGGAAAGGTTGGGAATAGACTTTCGTGTTCACAAAATGGGGCTCTTGTCCCTTGGATATTTTGGGATAGATCTGAGCCATCCAAATGAAGAGAGTGTGAGCACCCTAACATAACCCATCATATAATACAAATTCTACTTTATATTTCTTGTTCTAAACCTACAACCAAGTTTTTTTTAAAAAATATATTGTTTCAAATTTGGAATAACTTCATTTCACTTAAGAGGCCCAAGCGAAAGTAATACTTGACCGCTTGTCACCTCATAAAAGCTTCAAAGGTTCGTCTCCCTGTTTTGCTTATGCGCCCTTTATTGTAATCCCTCGGGTTTGAAGGAAAGAGCGAGGGGTACTTCTGTAAATATGTTAAGGCTTTTTGCTGGGTAAAATGTAAAATTATTGTCTTTAACCGCTCACGCCTCCCAATACCAAAATGTGGGTTATCCGAAAAAGTATTAGTAATTGAGTGATGTATGTCCGGACCAAAAAAGGCCTCCCAATATCAAATGTGGGTAATCTGAAAAAAATATTAGTATTTGAGTGATTTATAGACGGGCCAAAAATGGCCTCCCTCTACCAAATGTGTTTAATCTGAAAATTTATTAGCATTTGAGTTATTTATGTACCGACCCAAAAAGGCGTCCCAATATCTAGGGGGCAAATCCCTACATCATAGAAGTTCTATCATCCCTTTTATCCTACTGTCCATTTTGAATAGAGGGCTAAGATTGTCCTAATCACAATATCATGTTTCTAACTATTTTATTTTTAATTTTTTTTCTCTAAACTATTTTGATACCAAATTTTGGACGTTCATTCCTCTATTAAACTCTCACTAGCAAAAAATATAAAAAAATAATTTCAATAAAATAAAATGACCAAAATACTCTTAAAAGTTTCATGGGGTATTTTGGTCATTATATTTTATCGAAATTTTATTTTTAATATTTTTTATAGGAGTGCCCCGATGAGAAAATGGCACGTACAAAAGTTCATATTCACTCAATCTATTTTAAAAAAAATAAATTAAAAATAAAATACGTTGAGACGTTGGATCTAATAGGAAATGGTGAGTAGCTCTCTTGATCAAAATTGTTCAACCCGCATTTTTTTTCAAAATTGCTCTTGGGTCTTAGAATGGCATCCTCTTATTTAGTTATTTTGTTTGTAGGGCAGTGCCCAGGTTATTCGAGGTTAGAATCCTCAAACCATCGTCTAGACTGGGCAGGCCTTAGTTCCTAAGAGGTCCGAGGTTCCCATCCTCGGACCGCTCTTTCCTTCTTATTTTTCGAGAAAAACGACAGTCCTGGTCCCCATTCTCGGACTCTACTTTATTTCTTTATTTTTGAGAAAAGTAGCAATCCGAGGATGGGGACTCAGACCGCTCTCTTGACTTAGCAAAACTCAATTCCAAGGTGGTCCAAACTCACCATCCTCAGACTGCACTTTATTTCTTAGTTTTTGAGAGAAACAACATCCGAGGATGAGAACTTCAAATTGTTCTATTGGGGTTATGTTCTGTTCACAGTGCGGTCTGAGGATTGTAACCTCGGATCGCCTGAGCCCCACCCCTAAAGCTTGAGGCACTGTCCTACAAGCGAAAAAATAAAAACAATAAAATAGAATGTGGACAGTGGAAGGAATCCTTGGACTGAGGTTAATTTTTTTTTTAAAAAAAGAAAACGTGGGTATTTCTTATTTTCCGAGGAAAACAACGGTCCCTGGACAGTAACCTCGCACTGCTCTACTAGGGTTTCGATGTAATCACTGGGTAGTTAGAGGATTTGATTTCGAATCACCGAGGAACTATCCCTAAGGCAAGGGGCACTGCCCATACGAATGAAAAAAACTAAAATAAATAAATATACTAAAATGCGGTCCGAGGATGGAATCATTTGTATGAGAGGCAATTTTGTAAAAAAAAAAAAGAAAGAAAAAACAAATTTTTTTTTGTAGGTTGAGCAACCTTCCTTGGGTTTTCTACCTATAATGAGATCATTTTGAGTTTTAGATAATTATTTCAGGTTCGTCCGTAATTTACCGTTAATATTTATTGAGAACATAGGTATAAAAATAAATATATAAAAATAAACACTCATATATAATATGTTGTCTTGTTGCTGATTTAATCATTTTGTGAGAGATTTCCACGACTTAAATGATATTTTCCGTGTAGAATTTTAACGCTCGAGATATGGGGAAAGTCCTACGAATATATACACAGAGACCTACATATTTGAAGATACACGACTCAAAAACGCAAGATACACGACTCAAAAACGCATTTTCTTGGCACCAGACAGTGATCAACAAAAGACAGGTCAATCAATTCCCTTATTTATTATACTGAGCCACCATGGTGGTTCAGTTTTCTTAAAAACTCCACAACTAGAGGATATCACAGTTGAATATACCCATTCTCTATCATCCATTTTAGGCTCCAGTGCCCATTCACATTCTTTGCATCTTTCTTTTCTTGATTTATGTATCAAAAAAGGCAAGACCATGTGATGAACAAAAGACAGTTCAAACAAATCTCTTATTTATTATGCTGAGACATTATGGTGGTTCAGCTTACTTAAAAACTCGACAACTAGTGGGTATCACAGTTGAATATACCC